TGTTAACATGTGCTTACATGCGTGTGTGCATGCGTGTGAATGTGTGTGTGCATATGTGCATGTGCATGCGCTTGTGTGTGTGTGTGTGTGTGTTTGCGAGTATGTGTGTCTGCGTGTGCCTACATGCGTGTGTGTGTGTGTGTGTGTGTGTGTGTGTGTGTGTGTGTGTCTGTGTGTGCTTACATGCATGTGTGTGTTTGTGTGCACATGTCCATGCTTGCATGCATGTTTGAGTGCACGCATGTGTGTGTGTGTGTGTGTGTCCCTACATGCATGTGTGTGTTTGTGTGCACATGTGCATGCATGTGTGCATGTTTGAGTGAACGCGTGCGTGCATGCATGTGTATGTGTGTGTGTGTGTGTGTGTGTGTGTGTGTGTGTGTGTGTGTGTGTGTGTGTGTGTGTGTAAGCACATGTTGCATTCAAATTAAACACTTGTCAGAATATCATAAAGATCCCCCTGTAGTGTATCCATGACCGAGGTTGTTTGGTTATCAGACTGCAGCTGGAAGGCCGTAAAATAGTTTTGTTTTCTGCTACATTCCTGACTGAATCAATATGTTCCTGGTGGAAAACTCTAAAGATTAAAAGATCTTTTTTTAAACCAAACCTGCTTCAGAGTTGAGCAAGTGCGATAACATGCAAAGTAATGGATCTGTTTCCTGCTCTTAATGTTTCCTGCTAATGATTAGCCAGGTTATCTAAACTAACACGTTAAGATAAGAAAAAGAAAATCCCCCCACCAGCTGATGGGGGAGCACACCAGCTAACGAGAACAGGTTTAAGGCTCAGTGTGTTGAGTCAGTCTCACTGCGGTAAGGTAAACAGAACCAAGTTTATCTTTTTAGGTGATAACTGAATATTCGTATTGTGTAGGTAGCATTGTGAAAATATGTAAATATTTAGACAGCATTAGTTATTCTTGTTATTTAGCCTTAAAGTCAGTAGAAAAACATGTAGAAGCATCAAAAAAGAATACAGGAATGAAAAGCTCAATCTGACCATGAACATCCCAGCAAAACAGAACCAGTAACCTGATGTCTTAGCATGACCCTGGCATGCTCAGACTCTGACTGTTGCCATCATGGCAGCATACCTGTTTCCTATGCTCAGAAAATGTCAAGTAAATCCCAGATGGCTTTAGTTCAACATGCAGGTTTTGCATGATGTCACAACCGTAATGCCCCTATTAAATGTGCAGTGAGTGATGAGGAATGGCTATGGTCGCTTCAGCTCGACCCAGAGGAGAGGTGAGTGACTCTTGTGTCATTCACAGAAGCAGGAAGGCTCGCCAAACTACTGTTTATTTTGGCTTCTTTGTGTATTTTAAAGCTCAATGTAAACGATGCGAGCAAAGATCTGTAATAGCTGCATCTCTATTGTTCATGGATCAACGATAAAAATAAACGTTAAATGTAGCTTTCCGGTGGTGGCACTAAGTTGAAAATCATGTGATGCGGCTGATGGGAGGCAGAGCCACGCTGCCTTGTTGGGGGGTTTCACAGAAAGAAGCAGGAAATCAAACAATAAAGGGAAAATCTTAGAATGAAACAGAGACAGGGTTGTGCTCCTGGTTGCATCATCAGACGGTAGCCACAGACTTTAAACAAACACGTTCTGTTTAGTCACGCAGCTAATTCAGATTTCTACCCCGGGAGGTTGCTTCCCTCAGCCAAAAGTGCAGGTTAGGTTTGTGATCATCGTATTGTGAGGGAAAGAAGCGGACACGGGCCTGTGCTGGTGCAGCTGTGCAGAGATGCTCAGCATTAGAATGTGGGAAGTGTCTCTGAAAGGGCTGTCGGAGCTTATTAGCTCCCTTCACTCTGTGGTTATGTAACAGCTAGGGGCTGCAGCAGGAAAATAGGCTCTTGGAGGATCATCCAGGGTGGAGGGTCATCACATGAGATGAAAGGAAAGGCTCGTGTAATATGATGAGAAAGCGCTGTGATTGGTTGTGACTAAATCTGAGCTGGTCTCTGCTCCAGCTGACTGCAAATCCACAGTTTAGCTTGCACCCTAGCAGGGGGAGGAGCATTAAAAATCTCCTATCAGATAACAGGTGTCTGATTTTATCTAAAGATTTCCTGCTGTGATACAACTGGATTAGATGTTCTGGTAACACTTCACAATACGGGTCCCTTTACTGGCGTTACTTCGGCATCCATCCATTATCTGGGGTTGGGTTGCGAGGCAGCAGCCTAAGCCATGAGGGACAGATTTCCTTCTTCCCAGCTACTTGGGCCAGTTCTTTCGGAGGAACCCTGAGGCATTCCCTGGCCAGATGAGACATCATCCCTCCAGCGTAACCTGGGTCTTCCTTTAGGTCTCCTCCTAGTTGGACGTGCCTGGAAAACCTCACAAGGGAGGCGCCAAGGACGCTTCCTAACTAGATGCCTGAGCCACCTCAACTGGTTCTCCTCAATATGGAGGAGCAGCAGATCTACTCCAAGCCCCTCCCGGATGACCGAGCTTCTCACTCTATCTCTAAGAGAGCCCCCCCCCCACACACACACACACACACACACACACACACCTGCCCTTTGTTCTAACCTTAAGTGCACTTATTAGTTAATATCAAGAACATTAATAAAGATATCCTTTTTTTATTAACACTTAATAAAGCACTAACATTATTAAAGGGACCCTTATTGTAAAGTGTTACCGAATTTCTCTAATGACATTAAGAGGTAATGAACCTTCACAGTTTGATCTGATTTTGTTGCTCGATGTGAGCTCCCGCTCTGCAGACTGGTGTCTTCTTTTTCTGGCTGAACTCCAAGTGAGTCCTAATGCCTCTTTTCAAAAACACAGACATACTCTTCATGTTGTTACAACAGCGCACAGCTCAGAAGACGATAACATGGAATCAGAGCATGGACGGACTGCTGAATTGAATCAGATCATGTTATCTCTGAAGCACCAGTTGCTTCGTGTCCCAATCAGAGACCAGTCACATCAAACACGTTTAGCACGGTAGTTTTATTAGTTACAGCTTATTCGGACAGATTCCACCAACCAAATGCATGTCATTGTTCTGCTTAGAAATAATAATTTACTCTTAATGTGTTTTCCTAAGAGAAGATTCTCCATCTGGACATCCGGTGATGTTGTGGCATGTCAACGTTGCTGCGTTTGGGGAATTTTTTGAAGACAAATGGCCAGTTATGAGCTTTACGACTTTAATCTACCTTAAACTTTGGGTGACTGCAGGTAAGGAAAAGAAAGAATTTGGAAAGTGGCTCTTGAAACCGCTGAAGATGGAATCAGAGGGAATGTTTGAGTATTTTTCTTTTTAGATGTTTGTGTTGTGGTGGTGAAGCTGTGAGGGCAGGACTCACATCTGAACCTCACCAGCACATTCATGTGGTCTTCAGTATAAAAAACCTCCAGAAAAACAGTGAAATAACACATAAAGCCTTCCTGTTGCTCCTGCTTTAGTGACAAAGCATGAGGTAATTATCGCACCGATTAAAGACGACGGCTTTGAGAACAGAAACAACAGCATGAGAGGATATTTAGGCCAAATCCTCTGTGATTGTGCATACTGTAGAGCAGATTGACTCTGAAGGTGCTAGAGAGGCAGACTGGAGCACTCCATCAGGCCCCAGTGGGACCATGACAAAACCATCAAGAGTCTCCAGGGAGGATCAGGTAGTCAGTCAGACTGAGCTGCTATGAAAAAGGCTGCTAATGAAACAGGCAGTCAATAAGATATATGCAGATATAATTTATTCCTAACGTTACCACAACGCCACTTCGTGAGATCTGACCTGTTCCTTTAAGTCGGGTCACATAAACGATGCCTTCACGTGTTTAATAAGCATATGCAGCTCCAGGTCTGAGACATGTCAGCGTATTGTCCAAGGAGACGGTGCAGCTATATGTTTACAACATCAATGATCAGTCGCCTTCATTCTGCTGAGGCTGTGGTAAGCAGAGAGGTGATGTGATGAGCTGTGTGTGTGTCTAGGGAGGAAATGCTCTCCAGAACCACTACTAATGTTGGTCCGTGTCGGCACAGAGCAGGAATGTTCAGCTTTTCTAGAAGATGAAGAGTTCAAATCTACAGCTGACAGTAAAGGTGTTGTTACCTACTATCAAAGCCACCATCATCCCAGCTTCTGTCTAATTCCTGAGCAGAGTTGAGTTAACGTGACTGAAATGCAGAACTGGCAGAAGGGAGGAAGTTCTGTCTCTAACCATGGAAACACCAACTTTAACTCACCCATTACACTTCTAAGGCCTGACCACTAGAAAAACACTGAGGGAAAACCAGCTGGGTCCTTCAGCACAGGGCTCACACACACACACACACACACACACACACACACACACAAGTACACATATAGAACTTTTGTTTCAAATGGGGTCATATATTCACACTGATAAAACAGCAGAGCAGAGCTATAGCTTGCTGATAATTCTGAGTCAGACAATCACTAACAAGCTTGAGTTCATCTGTAGTTCTTTACAGCACGCACACACACACACACACACACACACACACACACACACACACACACACACACACACACACACACACACACTCACACACACACACACACACACACATGCACGCACGCGCGCGCGCACACACACACACACGCACACACACACACACACACACTGACAGCGTGGGTTATTCGAACCTCTTTGGATTCGTTTTTACTGTCACTGATCACTTTTGTTGTTTTAGAAAAAGTCAAATTAGCTTCTTCATTCATTCATTCATGCATTATTATTATTATTATTATTATTATTATTATTATTATTATTATTAAAGTATTTCCTTCTCACCGGTTCTAAAGGGAACAGCTGGATGTTTCAGAGAAAAGCGCCATGTTGGTCCGGTTGATCCAACACGCCGCGCACTCCGGGAACCTTAGCAGGAGTGTGTGTGTGTGTGTGTGTGTGTGTGTGTGTGTGTGTGTGTGTGTGTGTGTGTGTGTGTGTGTGTGTGTGTGTGTGTGTGTGTGTGATAGAGAGGAGGGGGAGCCTACCTTTCCGATGGCCTTTTTATACCTCATGGCCGCTTGTTCCACCAGGTTGAGGACTTTAATATTCCCATCTCCACACGGAACGACCACGCGCGTCCTCCCGAAACACACCGTCACTTTCATGTCTCCTCCGCTGCGTTAATCCCAAAGAGGAAAAACCCGCGTGAACACCACCAGAACCATCCCAGGTGTGTGCGCGTGAGAGGACAAAACAGGTACGATCCCAGCCAACTGGTCGAGTGTTTGCGTGTGCGCCGGTGTTTCCTGGAGAGAAGCCCCGCTCAGGAGGATCCGGGCAGGGCTGGGTGGCGTCCTCCCTGTGCCGTGTTGACTCACTTACACAAACTTCGCAACTAAAGCCTCTCCAGCCTGAGCGCACTGCTGCACAGCTGACAACTGACACTGCGTGTGCGCCACATGTTGGAGCAGGCGCTAAGAATGTGCGCCTCAGCTCTAGTCAGGGCTCAGGGCTGGTCCTCCGATCCATCAGAACCACCAGAACCCACCTCTTCTCTGTTAGGAGGAAGAGTTAAACACATCCTCTTCATCAGGACTGAAGATTGGACACAAAACAGGCTAAAAAAAACCTCTCGAATCTGAAAAGAAAAGCTACATTTTAGTTGCATAAGAGTCCAAAAATATACTTGGAATCAAATCTAAACAGTTTGTGAGTTAAATGTTTTTGTTGACATTTAGAAGAGTTTTTTATATATATATTTAAGTACAAAAGAAAGAGAGAATGGTAAATGGCCTTCTTAGGGTTATACAACCCCCCAAGGCGCATTCACCCACACATTCACACACTGGTGGTGATGTTGAGCTACGATGTAGCCACAGCTGCCCTGGGGCATACTGACAGAGGCAAGGTCTGCTGAACACTGACACCACCGGTCCCCCGACCACCACCAGCAGGCAAGGCAGGTTAAGTGCCTTGCCCAAGTACACAACAGCAGCATTCTCTGTGAGCTGGGATCAAACCTGCAACCTTCCGATAACTGCCCCTCTAACTCCATACTGCTGGGAAGGAACCTGATTAAGTTTGAAATTGTTCATCCAAGATCATCAACGTTCCTGTCTGAGTTCTTCTGTGGTCAAACCAACTCCAAAGGGATCTCTTAATCCTGTGACCATCTCCTTTTTATAAAGATTCATATATTTATTCACATTTCACTCTAAATAATTTGTTTTGTTACTATTTACAAATTTTGGTTAAATTATTTATGTATTGTTTTACAGTATGGTTCCCCATACTGGATGCATGTTAGATGTCAGATTTTTGTCCTTGTGTGAAAATATCTACTGTAGATATAACACTTTTATTACCTCACCTTAACTCATAATAATGTATGAGTTTTATTGCATTCATGACAAATAAAATATGCTACGTTTAGGTTTTGGTAGATAGCTGGCGTATTGACCTGCATTATAGAATTAAAAAATCTGCCAAAGGATGAAAATATTTGACTCAGTTTGCAGATAAAAGCTGGAACCTTCCTGAAGAACATCCCTCGCTCCCTGCAGCCCTCATCTAATGAAGTGAACAAGAACACGATGAAGATGGCAGCAGTGATTTTTAAGTGCAGGATGTAATAATTAACAATTATTCAGTTTAGTTGAGTCTGAAATCAGAGTCTATGGACACACATTTAGGGTTTGACAGAGCATGAAAGCTATGAAGAGCAGCGTCTTAACTGGACTTGGACAGGTGAGGCTGCATTTCATGTTACTAGCCCCCTCTAGTGGCCGTTAGTGGTAACGCGATAAATCAGAAGGTAATTCAAAGTTTATGGAATTTCTTGTTACTTATACCTCTGATTTCTATTTGTATCACTAAACTCAAAATCTGTTACAAGTACAGATAAAAATAATTATTTGTACTTGTTGCTTTTTTTAGCATCAGCCTGGGTGGATGTATGTATCAGTAAACCAAAGCAGCGCTTCCCATATTTGTCGAGTTTGTTTACATACCGAAACTGCAACATAAGGTGGGGTAGCAGACTAGCTCCCAGAATCCATTGCAAATCAGGAATGCATTCACCTTCCCAGTCTTTGAGGTATAAGTGGACAGAAACTGATTTATCTAAATAAATGCATAATGCTGTAAATAATCTTTACTGCAAACACCAGTTGTTGTTTGTTGCAATGGTGTCTTTGTTATTGTGAACATGTCTTTCCCTCTCTCATGTTACCCCTGAATGTTGAAGTGTGGGAAAACATGCCTCTTCAGTCCGACGTCTCCAGACTTGCCTCGCGTGGAGAGAAGAGCAGAACTACAAAAAAATACAGTAAACACAGCATGTGTGAGTGTGTGAACTGTCAGATATGTGCAGCTTCCACAGCAGGCGTGTTCGGGCAAGGCCCCAGCAGCGGAGTCCGTCATTCATGACACGGACCATCATATCACACTTCCATCCCCTCACCAGTTGAACACACTCTGCTTTCATTCTGACTCATTTCTGTTTCTGACATCAACCCCGCTCTGGCTTCCTCGCCGCCTCTGAGGAAAGTTACTAAACAGATCAAAGCTGTGTGTAAAACTTTGGAATTTTTTAGAATTTTTCCCGCTAATTCGTCTTGTTCTGATGGTTTAGAGATGTTAGACTGGTAGAAATGAGTTCCTCCAGACTTACTTTACTTTAAAAGAGTCTGAGATACACCTTCTGTTGTGTAGTTTATTGGATTTATGGAATGACATGAAACATCTGGCAACAGAGTTGACAAAAACAACAAAAAAAGAAAGGTGTGTTAAGGAGGACAACAGAACTTGAAAATAATTACAACATATGTATACAAAGTAAATGTAACACTAACCGTGTGATTTTGCATGTGTGTGTGTGTGTGTGTGTGTGTGTGTGTGTGTGTGTGTGTGTGTGTGTTTGTAAGTAAGTAAATTTTATTTATATAGCTCTTATCACAGACATAGAATCACAAAGTGCTTCACATAGATCAAAACAAAATAAAACAAAGTCATAAAATCAAAATGCTCTCAAAACAGAATCAGATTAACATTAGAAAAAATAAAGTCATAAAATTATAAAATTTCATAAATAGATGAAATATTAAAAATTTTAGTTAAAAATAAGAAAATCAAAGATTTAGGTTTGTGTGCAGCTTTGTCACTGGGGAGCTGTGAGTGAGGTGCAGGGGAAAGGAGAAGTGGCCGTGAGCTCTGAGGTATGAGGCAGCATGAAGTAGCTGTACACTAATCAGCCCTGGTGACAGCCGGGGGGGGGGGTGGCGGGGGGGGGGGGGGGGTTGGGTGAGACTGACATCCACTGCTCCTGAAGGAACAAGCTCTGTGTCCAATAACCCTGGCACCCAGAGATCCACAGGGGGCTAAACCAAACCCTGATGCATGCTGTGGCTGCAGATCTGTGTTATAGTAAGGTACTCATGTGTCCATGGTTACTAAATGTTGTGGAAAACAGGTTGTTTGACATGCTGAAGGTAAAGTTGTCAGAACTGACAAAAGCCTCTAAAGCTGTTGGCTGTCATTCATCTTCACTAAATGAGTCTTTACATAGATAATCAGGTGGTGTGGGCTTGCTGTGGCTGTAGCAACTCACAAACCTAGAGACCGTAGTCCTAAAAACACTCCGCTATACCCGACACCCTCTTATCCCTCCCACTGTCTTTATGGGTGACCCCGCGAGGAAAGTTATCCCTTGAGGTGGGGAGTGAGCACCACCTCACCCCTGCCACGTGGACCCAAGGGATAAACCATCAACCCTTCTCAATGGTCAACTTTCCTCGCGGGGTCACCCCCATTAGGACAGTGGGAGGGTTAATGCAGAGTCTGCTTCTTGCTGGGGCCCGTGCAGCGGCTCACTAGAGCTGGGAGCGGCTGTTGCTTCAGCACCCTGACTTTATTGTAATCGTTAGTAGCTCAAGGCTACATACATACACAGTCAAACCCTCTTCTAATGAAGCTAAACAGGCTAAATGGGTGAGACTTTAAGATGATGAGCCTCAGAACAAACACCAGAATCTCCTTTAGGGCTCATCGCCGTGTCGTGTTGAATCTTGACGCTCTTATAAATAGGACCACTATTGTTTTCACTGTTGTAATATTTACATTTGTGGATTCACCATTTAAGTAATGTATCGTTAATGATGTTCTGTAATTTTTATATGAATCTGCCAGCTGGAAAAGCTCCGTGTACACAATCAGCCTGCAGAAAGAGCCTCGAGTGTTTTACTGCCATGTTTGCAGGATTGGACCAGAAATAATCCTGAAAAGTGTTGTCTGTTGTTTTACATCGTAGGTTTCACAGATTAGCGACTGTAACCAGCCGCTGTTTCACATGACCTTTTGACCCTGTTCATTGTAAAGTCATCACCACAGCAGGAAAAGCTGTTATCTTGTGATGATAGTACCACTGCCTGGGTGAGTAGAGTGGCAATAAGCTACTACTAGTATTTATTTAATAAACACACACCTCAATGCCAAATTACATGCTGTCCTTAACATTTTTTTATAAAGTTGTTTTTTAAATCTATTTTTATTTGATTTCTTCACTTCTTGTGTCTAAACAAATAAAAACTAAAAAACAAATCATGACTTAATGTGTCATGCATGAAATTCTTCAAAATAACACATTGCACGTGTAATAGGGGTGCAACGATTGCCGCTTTTGGCCGATCACCAATCTTGAGAAAAACCTGACTGGCCGATACAGATTTTGTTTTAACTAAAAGCAGATTACGTCAATGCTTCAATTTCCTTTTATTGAGAAAACCAATATGAATACTCATGAAGCAATACCAGTTTTAACTGGACATGAAATAATGATCTCAAATATAAATGAACATATTTAGCATTGCTGTTTGAACTACACAATCATATTTTTTCCTTTAGTTTCATTTTTCTATTTTTGAAAACAAAACTTTTGTACCTGTTTTGGCACATTTGTCTAAATAAATATTCTAAAGCAATGACTCGTTTGAACATTAATTGGGGGTGCACAGATTGCAGTTTTTGGCCGATCACCGATCTTGACAAAAGCCGAGATCAGGGCCAATAGATCGATACCCTAATGTTTAAGGTTCTAGACCCAAAGATGCAATGATCACACACCCTGAATTTGCTCAAGAACAAACTGGACCTTCTCCAGAACCAGATGGCATATCTGGTATCATCTGCAGCAGAAGTTTGCATCTCTGTCCTTACCTGTTTGGTCAGATGTCCAGTGGGAGGCCAAGACCATAACAGCAATAAACACAAACATGCAGACAGAATAACAGGTGAGAAAAGGCAGCTGACCACATGATTTTAACACTCAACCTTCTGATCTCGAGTCAGACGTGCCGCCGTAGTTCCATAAGACCATGCAAAATATAATTTAGATGACTAATAACAGGGACCGTTTGTGCGCATGCATCTTTAACCAGCAATAAGAGACATTTACTATTTGGTGATACTTCTCTGGTAATACGATAAAGGTCTTGCGAGAGCTGACGTCAGTAAAAAGGTATCTAATCAGCACCGTGGACAGCCGTCAACACAACACACATGGGAGCCACCTTCTATATTTGAACGTGCCTTGTGTTATAATATATCCATCGATAAATTCTTCATAGAAACTAATTAATTCAAAAGCTACAATATAAAGTAACAGATGTAATTTGGTGTCTAGTCTTGGTCCTTCAGGGCCACCGTCCTGCAGATATAATTAGTGAGTATTAATAATAATAATGAATAATGCATTGAACTTATATAGCGCGTTTCTAGACACTCAAAGATGCTTTCACACACTCTCACATTCACACACTGCTAGTGATGGAAAGCTACTTGTAGTACTACTTGTGCCATGGGGAGGTCTGACAGAGGCGAGGCTGCCATTTGGCACCGTCGGCCCCTCTGACCACCACTAACACAGGCAAGTTGGGTGAAGTGTCTTGCCCAAGGACACAACAGCAGGATACCCCTAGCGGGAGCTGGAATCGAACCCATGACCCTCCGATCATGAGGCAACCCGCTCTACCACCTGAGCTATTGCTGCCCTATTAGGCAGTATTTGAGCTGTTGAACAGGCGATTTATACATTCAGGTGTGTGGAGCAGGGAAAACACTAAAACATACTGGGTACAGACCCTTTGGGACTATTATTAGACATCCCTGCTCTAAATGAACATGATGATGGCGTCACAAGCTAAAAGCTAAAGACTCCATCCTTATATAGACACATGACGAATACCTAAATAAAAGCCTTCAGTGTTTTTATTGATTTATTTGACAAGCAGCAAGATCATGTTTGTCACTGTTTCTTTACATTTTAAAGTAGATAACAATAGTCAATATAGCAGTTTTGTTACAATATTGTTCCTAATTCAGTACATTTAACAAAGAAAGTAACACACAACTGCAAACGTGAGAAAAGAAAGCAAGTTTGTTTATTGTGTAGCCACCAACAAGTCATTGATGCCACAAGTAGTCCTGTCCCCATCCTGTGTCCCTGCCGGCAGATCGGCAGATCCGTCCTCTCCAGCTGCTTTAGGCATTTTCTTTAGACGCACAGGTGCGTGGCACTGGTGATGTTGTAAACAGTTTAAAATCAGAAAGTGGGAGGGGCTTGAAGAAGGGCCTTATGGGTGGAGGTGTCCGACGTGAAACCATGACATTAATCTTATCTGAGATGGAGGCACGAGTCCTGCTTTAGTCACCACAGAGAAACACAGCAGACAGTGACCGTCCTGAACCTAAATGGATAAGTGGGATCGTGTGTTTGATCGTGGTTTTTGTCCTCAGTCAGTCTCATGAGTCTCTGTATGGAGCCTCCCCCCCCCTTACGCCACGTAGCTGTACTCGTCAGCGGAGGTCTGGCTTCGCTCGATGTACTGCTTGTCGATGAGCACCTCGATACACTTCTTAATCATGCTGATACTGGGGTTGAACCTGGCTTTGGACTGATTAATGACCTGTAAACACACGTTAATGCACAAACATGAATCTAATGCAGTTATTTCTTTCTATTATTTATTTAGGGAAACGACTAAAAACACTGATTTATGGTTTTGTCTACAGGAACAGCATCAGTTTCCAGGTAGGTTATAAAGAAGGGACATAAGCGTGAGAATCGTCCCTTCCATCTTGTGTATGCGTTGTAGCCGTCAGCTGACAGGAGCTTTCACTGCTCATGTCCTCCAACATGATCAAACATCTCCCTCTAACATAACAGTTACCTCACCTCTACAGAATTTAAACTCAACTTTACAGGACCCATTCATTCCAACCCTCCATGAGCCGTGTTTTCCTCCACTACCTCATCTGTCAGGAGTTTCCACTCACCTCCTGGATGAGGGCGTTGTGTCGGAGCACCTTGCGGGCCTTCATTATTCTGACTATAGCAGCTTGTAAATACATTTTGCGGTCCTCGTCTACAGCGCTCCTCGTCTGCTCCATCTCCTGAACATCACAGACACGGGTTTGTTATTGTTGAGCCTGCTAAGGCCTTAAGTTAACAGACTGGTATAAACCGAACTGAAACAGATCACCCATCATCTGACCTGGGGGGTGTCTTTCTGCATGGAGGTGGTAATCTTGAACTTTGTCCTTTTACTGCTAAAACTCATATTTAGTGAAAACGTGGACTCGGTTTCAATCTCCTCCTGTAGACAAAGAAAACAACGGTGAGCAGAGAGCAGGTCCTGCTGAGGATTTGATGCTGCATTCACTGACTCAGCACCTTTTGAGAGTCGTGGTTGAGAATCTTGACGTCCAGCAGGGACTTGATGGTCTTCTGAAGCTCCTTTTCGTTCATCTGGGTGCCGTCCTGAAGCTCCTTGTACGTTACCGTCTCACTGTTGTTGAAGGCCAGCAGCACGGCCATCTGATAAGTTGTCACCATGGCGACGTAAGGCTTGGACAGGTAGTTCATCTTAACCTCACCTGTGAGAGAAAAAACGTGTAAGATCAGCACTAAAAATACCAAGCTGAGGTGTGGACACGACTAGTTTGTGTGTGAGCTTAAAATGAATCAAAGAAAAAAAAGAGTGACTTCATTACAAGAAGTCTCAAGGCAAAAATCTGAATATTGTGTTTAATCCAAACTCGTGTGCTTAGCTGCCATGTCTCACTGCTGTCACATCTTCAATGAAGGTGTCTTGGATTTGCTGAACCTGAGATGGGTGGAGGAGCAGCAGACAAGATCTTTACTCAGCTGAGCTGAAAGCCAAAGCTCCCAGTTTATTGGTCTATCTTGGACATGAGATTTAAAGTAATGCTAAATAGTTTTAAAATGTTAAACTAGAGCTTTAACATTGATCTCAGCGATCGTCGGGTTAGAAAGTTGACCAGTTTCATATTTGACGCCAATGTGCAGCTCTGCTGGCCGGATACTGCACTTGACAGTTTTGTGGAGGGGTAGGTGTTCTAGGGGGTGCTCTTATACCTGCATTACGGCTGTTAGCTACTTTTTGTGCAGTTGGCTTTTTCAGTTTGTTGATCATCAATAAAAAGCACAAGAAAAATAAGAAGTTTGCTTTTCTGTTGGCATCGTGGCAGAGCGAGGAAGTAAAAGTAATAAAGTAATGCTAACAACCGTAATGCATGTGTAAGAGCACCCCCTAGAACACCTACTGGCTCGATAAAAATGTTAAGAGTGGTATCTGGCCAGCAGAGGGCTGCAGAGTGTTTCAAATACTAAACTGGTCAAGTTTTTTAACCCAACTATCACCGAGATCAATGTTAAAGCTCTAGTTTAAAGTTTAAGAAACTATTTAGTGTTACTATAAATCCTGACTGAAAGAACACCATACTGGCTACCAGGAGCTAAAGAGTAGGGTTGGGCATCGTTTGATTTTGAACGATTCCGATTCCAATTCCAATTCCTCATTTCGATTCCGGTTCCTATCGATTCCCAATTCCGATTCTTTCAAGACATGACATGCTTTACACGAGCCAGCTAACCACAGGTCCTACTGGATGAAATAATCTTAACTTCAACATGAATTTTAATTCTATGAACAACAACATCACCTTCATTTAGACAAAAACATGTTTTGGAGAAAAAAAGAAAAAGACTTGCAGCACAACCAGTGTGTTTGTTTCTGACCACAACCAAAGTCTGGAAGCAGCCTCTGGGATGAGAGGCTAAATGTCTCCAACATATCCAGAAACGTCCAGCTGTTTTCAGCTAAAACTCTCAGGATGATCAAGTCCAGGATGACTGAGAACTACACCTCCATGCTGCAGCAGTCAGAACAGGAAGTGAAACTTAAATGTAGCTGCTGTCAGTAACAATTTAACAGATTTTAAACATTGAAACTCTCAACAGAGATAGTTCAAAAAGGAAATAAAAAATGTTTTATTATTATTATTATTATTATAATTATTTATTGTGGCAGAAGCTGGTGTGGTCCACCACAGAGAAGCTTCTCTAGCATGATGACTAATTATTCTACAGGTTATTGTTCAGCCTTCTGACGCTCACGAGTCTGACTGCTGACGCTCCGTGTGTGTTTTTATTTCTGCAGAGACAAACTCGCCTCACACCGTCCAGAGTTTGTTCTTTAAAGCTTCTAGTAAATCCACCATGTTGACGTATTTTAACAAGTTTCCTCTACGGCATATTTTCGCTACAGGAGTTAGTTTACATTACGGAGTAAAAGTCCGGCAGACGCGTTTGTTTACATTTGGTCGCTGCGCGCCGGGTGGGGGGAGGGGGGACTCGGTGCTGCACACAGACAGCTGCTGTGATCAGCTCTGAAAAGTGTTGATCACAATTTGCAGATCACGTTTATTATTCACGGAGATTGGCCGCGGATTCCTCTTCCGTCGGCATTCTAGGAATCAAAACTAGGAATCAAAAAAAATACTTTGAACGATCCCGGGAAAAACCAACAGTTGGAACCGGTTCCAATTGATGCTCGATGCCCAACCCTATCCAACATGGAGATCTCAGGGAAGACCCAGAATATGCTGAAGATATGATGTATCCTCTGTGGTCTGGGAATACCTTGGGATCCACCAGGAGGAGCTGCAGATGTCTGAGCTTCCCTCCTGGACCTGTTACCTCTGAAACCCGCCTGATATAAGTAGCAGGAAATACATGGATGGCTGAGTTATTACACATGCTTACGCTAGGTTATGTTAAAAAGTAAAATAAGAACAATCAGAGAACAAAACCTAGAAGGTTTAGTATTATAAAAACTGCTCTGCAGTAAAACCAAAGCAGCACAACATCCAAACCAAGTGTAAACAAACACTAGTCTGATGTGTTTCTGATTCAAGCATCATGCCTCATGATCTTATAAACAGTCGAACACAGGGGTGTCGAACTCATTTTAGCTCAGGGGCCACATTGAGGGAAATCTAGTCCCACGTGGGCCGGACCGGTAAATTAAAAACAACTTCAGACTGTTTCCTTTGTTTTAATACAGTCGATATAAAACAAGGCTGGAGCCTGAGGACAGTGTATCCAAAATAGTACAAGTACAACACCTGAAGTGTACTTGAAAATTTCAAAATAATAAAAAATCAATAAATAAATAAAAACATTCCTTAATGATTCAAAGAGCGTACAGATCACATGGCTAGATGAGTTTCATGCAGCACTTAAAGTATATGTGACTCATTTTACTTTACATCTTTTAGCTTTCACCAGCATATCAATATCAGAAGTCACATCCTGAGTGGCGGCCAACTTCAGGATGTGATTCAAGTTCTTGTGTGAGCCTTGAGCGCAGCTTTGTTTCATTTATACTCATTACAGAGGAAACTTGCTCACAAAGATACGTTTAGTTTCACTCTACATTGTAAAGTATGAAAATAAAGTTTACACAACCATCTCGCGGGCCGGATTTAACCCGCTTGCGGGCCGGATCCGGCATGAATGTTGTTTCATTACCTGTGCAGAGATAGTGCAGCCATGTTAACTTCCTCCCACTGAAGTGCTGATTATAAAACCGCTCAAACTGTAAGATAAAGTCAAATCAAAGGTTACCTGTGATGTGGTGCTTCATGTGTAAAACTCTGTTACCGCTCTGCAGCGCTCACCATCTGCACGCTCTTCTCTAGTTCTTGAGGGATGGCGAATGTGGACGAGGGGACGTGTGTTAGAGGCCAGGCTCCAGCCTGCAAAGAGACAGCACACGTGTCAATGGTGGACAAACACACACACCCCGCTGCTTGGAGTGTTCCTCACACACCTGTAATACGTAGATCTGGAAACTGATGCCCAGGTCCACCACCGTCTCCTGCGTCTTGATGAAATTGTTAAACTTGTTGTTGAGGTCGGCACTCACGCTCATGTCCGTGTACATTCTGTGAAGTTTGCTGGTGAACTCATAGCCACAAGCTTGCTGCAGAGTTGGAAGTAAACACAGATTGTTAGTGAGTGATCTGACGGGACACAGACTAAAATCAGGTCGGACGAGTGTGTTTTTGGGTGAAACGATCCAAAGATAATCCTTTTAGGGAATTTAAGGGAATTCTTGAGTCGTTATCTGGTTAAAGGTGTACCTTTAGTTTGTTGATCATTGCTTCTTCTGAATCCATGGACAACGATAGACCGTGTATTAACCGCTTAGCTAGCATTCTGGCATAAAACTACAGAAACAGAAAAACAGTTTGTGTATTTTGAGACATTTGATACTAAAAGCAGACTCTTATGAGACATTAGCTGTTTGACCTATTTAAAGAACCCAAAAACAGACTATTTTAACAGCATGTGGCACGATCCCAACCCGGAAAAATCTAATCTGAGATTTTTTAAATACATTCCTACATCAGAGGTTGTCCGAGTACCTTTTGAAAGATGTCTTTGTCGTCTATGTACTTAAACACTGTGATGAAGCTGGTCAGCTTATCCTCCACCTCGTTTTCTGTCATTCCCTTTGCAGACTTTTTCAGCAGGTTGTCACAGTATTTCGCCAGCTGGACAGAAACATCAGGAGGGGGTCAAGGCAGTGTGTGTGAGACACAAAACACAAAGGTTGTGTGTGTGTGTGCACTTACAAGTTCAGGGGCTTTGCAGATGGATTTGGGCTCCCTGAAGTTCACTACAGACGTCAAAGCCTGAGACAGATGTCGAATTGAACCTCAGTCAAACGGATAATTACTACACTGACACACATTTATGCTTCATTCTTTTGTCACAGAACATTCTAGACAGCAGGAAGCGAAGGAAAAGGCTGCAGGCGTTTATCAACAGCGACGACTGCTGTGTGAGTGAGGCCGCCTGAGGCTGCAGTACCTTATCAAGCGCGCTCATGAAGTGCTGATCTCCATTTAGAACCGTGTTAATGAGCTGAACAAATTTACTGTGAACCTCCAGAACAGACTCCACAAATAGAGTTGGCATCTAGAGGAGTCGGAGCAGAGAGACAACTTAGATTAACCTCGAGACTTTTTCACAGGTGGTAAAACAACTGTCCACTGGGTTTAAACACACGCACGCACGCGCACACACACACACACACACACACACACACACACACACACACAGAACGAACATTTTCCTGAGAGAGGTTACTGGTGCCTCTGATGCCCTCGTTGTGGATGTGAACCTGCAGCTCTTGGATCATGTGAGGTAACCCGTTTGAAACGGCCCGCAACAAGGTGTACATGTTGGCCATGTCTGAGGAACACACACATTATGGGTTACACTCTGTAACATCAAGGCCGTGATGAGCACACGCACAGCAAAGTGGACCGACCTTCTCTCTTCTCCTGCCGAATGATGCTCTGACACTCCCCATGCAGGAACTGCAGATGGTCCGCCACCATCCTCTGCTGGCATTCATGAATGACTTTGGCGTAGGAGCTGGGGTGCAGGTACTTCCGACATCGTACCTCCTCATCTTTCAACCGTGCCAACACCTGAAGGGTAAGACAAATGGAAGGAGGTTGTTTGGGCTCAACTTACACACACACACACACACACACACACACACACACATGCACACACACACACTCCTACCTTCTCCATATACTGTGAGCAGTTGGACTCCTGCAGAAGATTGGAGGCTTCCTGTTTGTAATACTCCCCAGTTTTTATCAGAAAAGGCCCTTCAAAGATTTCTTGATAAAACTGAGACAGAAGAACAAAATAAACAACAAAATACACGAGACACACCTACAGGCTGCTCTACATTTCAGTTTTAGATTTTCTGCATGAAACTAAAACCGGAGCATCCTGGTGTTGTTGTCGGCTCACCTTTAGTGGAAACTTCTTCTTGTACTGTTCAACATGAACAAAAGAGTTGATGACCCCGTGGATTACCTTCTGGTTGGGGTTCTCTCCACAGCGATCACTGAAAGACAGAACAGCTTTATTAGCCCCAGTGGGAATGCGCCTCCAGACAGGGATGTCATGGGAACTTTCTGGTTACGAGACTCCAGTCAAAGATCCCGTTAACGTGATCAGACACGTTTCTGGCATCACACCATCACAAAGGGCACTAGAGATGCAGCGTTGGGGCTGAAGTATGTTGAACAAAACATAAAATGTTTTTTATCTTATTGCAGTAATATTTGACTGCTGGGAACTCCCCAATCCAGACGTTGGCCTTATGAAGCCCGGGTAAATGGGGACTACAGTAAATCAGAAATGAAAACATAAGTAATCAAGCAGGTCCAACAAAAAGCGTTTTCCTTTGATAGGAAACTGGAATCAGAATTACAAAGATGGAGTCCCAAAGGCAGGTGTGTGAGAGAACTAGCATACTTCTTTATTTCATTCAGCAACATTCGGATGAGGACAGCCTGAAGCGGTTCAATCATCAGCTTTCTCCACATATCCAGAGCCAACTGCAATGACAGGTGAAAAACAACACATCACCAGAGCATAGACACACCCAAGAACATGCTAATCTCCCCCAAGAGGGTGTAAAAGTATGGTATGGATTTATAAAGTGAGGTTACTTCTCCGATCTCCATGAGCGGCTCGTTCATGTCCACTCCTCCATAGCCGTACTGCAGGTCGGCCTCCGTTAGTTTGTTCTTCTTTATGAACTGTGTGTTAAGATACCTGAACAGTAGAGACAGGCAAGTTAACGTGTTGGCATAGCAACGGCTTTGCTTGAGCCAGGTGGGGTGTATTCTCTTGTGATGTAATGTGATGCCATCAAGGCCAGTGATTGTTCACTGAAGGGGGGAGAATTCTGGAAGCAACCTGAGACTTTCTGCTATTGTCATTCCCAATCCTGAACAACGCTGTGGTTATCCTGTCTGACTGAAAAACCAAACCAAACATTCTTGGCCACCAACAGTGAGTCTAACTGGATTTAATGCATGCCACTAGGATGCTTTTCCTCCCTAACAGGCAGGAATGATGCAGGACAGTCAGCAAGTAAAAGGCAAACGATGAGCAACTCGGCAGAATTCTACCATGTCAGCATTGGGTCCAAATCAATAATAATAATAATAATAATAATAATAATAATAATAATAATGAGGGCAGAAAGGTAACTGATGTATAAATAGAGCTGAGAGAGAATTTATTCAAACAATTTTTCGCTCTAATTTCAACCCCCACGGACGCGGTTTGAAGGCAGAGGAGCTCCACATAACAGCTGAGATGCACTGAGCTCTTTATCACAGAAACACACAAGTCCAGCACCTCCTTAATCCCTTTATAAGAACACGTAGGCACCAGGAACTAAAGACTTCTGTTATTATCGAGGAAAAACAGTCAGCAGAAACACATTTTTATTGGACAAGGGGAAACATTTAAATAATCCCAAATCCATCATTGGTGAAAAGTTGCTGACGTTGCGTTACCATGGTGAACTAATTTGGTTTTACTGTGCTGTTTTTGCTTTGCTTACATTTGATTAAGATTCAGAAGTTTGGTCTTGATTTTTCTTCCTTTCAAGTATCAAAGCTTCAGAATGATGTCCAACATTAGTAACGGTCCCAGTGAAACACCTGACCAGTATGCAAGTGGATTAAACATCCAAACTGAGATGTTTTTGTAATTTAGTCATTCCATGAATGATTTCAGCCGTATGAACTAAAACGACTGGAGCTGCTAAAGACAAATAAGCACCAGAGCTTAGCATGAAACTACAGGGATGAAGACAGAAGCTCATTAGTCGCCATCTGGTGTAATTACATCACTGCATTTGACCCGTCCCCACTGGCAGTGGTGAGCTGCAGCTGTGGTCGCGCTCGGGAACTATTTGGTGATTTAATCCCCCAATCTAACCCATTAAAGCTGAGTGTCAAGCAGAGAGGCAATGGGTCCCTAATTACAGTGGTGTGAAAACCTATTTGCCCCCTTCCTGATTTCTTATTCTTTTGCATGTTTGTCACACAAAATGTTTCTGATCATCAAACACATTTAACCATTAGTCAAAGATAACACAAGTACACACAAAATGCAGTTTTGAAATGATGGTTTTTATTATTTAAGGAGAGAACAAAATCCAAACCTGCATTGCCCTGTGTGAAAAAGTAATCTCAACCTAATAACTGGTTGGGCCTCCCTTAGCAGCAATAACTGCAATCAAGCGTTTGCGATAACTTGCTACGAGTCTTTTACAGCGCTCTGGAGGAAGTTTGGCCCACTCATCTTTGCAGAATTGTTGTAATTCAGCTTTATTTAAGGGGTTTCTAGCACAAAGTGCCTTTTTAAGGTCATGCCATAGCATCTCAATAGGATTCAGGTCAGGACTTTGACTAGGCCACTCCAAAGTCTCCATTTTGTTGTTTTTCAGCCATTCAGAGGTGGATTTGCTGGTGTGTTTTGGGTCATTGTCCTGCTGCAGCACCCAAGGTCGCTTCAGCTTTAGTTGACCAACAGATGGCCGGACATTCTCCTTCAGGATGTTTTGGTAGACAGTAGAATTCATGGTTCCATTTATGACAGCAAGCCTTCCAGTTCCTGAAGCAGCAAAACAACTCCAGACCATCACACTACCACCACCATGTTTTACTGTTGGTATGATGTTCTTTGTCTGAAATGCTGTGTTACTTCTACGCCAGATGTAACGGGACATTTGCCTTCCAAAAAGTTCAACTTTTGTCTCGTCAGTCCACAAGGTATTTTCCCCAAAGTCTTTGCAATCATTGAGATGTTTCTTAGCAAAATTGAGACGAGCCCTAACGTTCTTTTTGCTTAACAGCGGTTTGCGTCTTGGAAATCTGCCATGCAGGCCATTTTTGCCCAGTCTCTTTCTTATGGTGGAGTCGTGAACACTGACCTTAATTGAGGCAAGTGAGGCCTGCAGTTCTTTAGAAGTTGTCCTGGGGTCTTTTGTGACCTCTCAGATGAGTTGCCTCTGCGCTCTTGGGGTAACTTTTGTCGGCCACCCACTCCTGGGAAGGTTCACCACTGTTCCATGTTGTGGTTCGCTGGAGTCCCAAAGCTTTAGAAATGGCTTTATAACCTTTACCAGACTGATAGATCTCAATTACTTTTGTTCTCATTTGTTCTTGAATTTCTTTGGATCTTGGCTTTTGAGGTGCTTTTGGTCTACTTCTCTGTGTCAGGCAGCTCATATTTAAGTGATTTCTTGATTGAAACAGGTGTGGCAGTAATCAGGTTTGGGGGTGGCAACAGAAATTGAACTCAGGTGTGAAACACCACAGTTGGGTTATTTTTTAACAAGGGGGCAGTTGCTTTTTCACAGAGGGCAATGCAGGATTGGATTTTGTTCTCTCCCTAAATAATAAAAACCATCATTTCAAAACTGCATTTTGTGTTTACTTGTGTTATCTTTGACTAATGGTTAAATGTGTTTGATGATCAGAAACATTTTGTGTGACAAACATGCAAAAGAATAAGAAATCAGGAAGGGGGCAAATAGATTTTCACACCACTGTATGACCCAACTGGGATTTGAACACCAATCTCCCACTCCCAGAGTGGACACTTTACCACAAGGCCACTAAGAAGCTAAAACTGTTGCAGATACTAACAGATTGTTTTGGTTTATCAGCCAAAACCCAAACTGTGAAGCTGTTTCATTGTTTTACTATCATTTTTATCGATTGCATCAAGTTCTTCAGCTGGTGCCGAGTTTCATAAGGATAACTTCCAAGCAGACGAACAGCTGTCAACACTGACAGAACAGTCTGTAGTAAATGGTGTGCTATTTTCACAGCTGCACCATCTGCCACCATCAGTGGGATCTTTAACGTTTAGCCTGATTTCTCCGAGGCAAAAAAAGGTCACTATGATTCTTTAACGCCATTAAATAACAGAAGTGTGTAGATACTAAATCTGTTTAACGATGCTCTTCCTAAACCAAGACCTGCTGATTGTTTTATGGTAAATGGCCTGTATTTGATATAGCGCCTTCTAGAGTCCTGGAACCCCCCAAGGCGCTTTACAACACAATCAGTCATTCACCCATTCACACACACATTCACACACTGGTGGGGATGAGCTACGATGTAGCCACAGCTGCCCTGGGGCGCACTGACAGAGGCGAGGCCACCAGTCCCTCCGACCACCACCAGCAGGCAACGTGGGTTAAGTGTTTTGCCCAAGGACACAACGACAGTGACAGACTGAGCGGGTCTCGAACCTGCGACCTTCCGATTGCGAGGCGAGCACTTAACTCCTGTGCCACCGTCGCCCCATGCATGTATGTACAGAGAGACAATAAAAGATGTTTATGTGCATCAGCAGTCTGGTGGGGAGTACGTGTAAAAATAGATCTGAAAGATCTAATTATTGATCTAGAATGAGTTATGCCACAGCAAGTGCCTGTCGGCACCTCTCACTATGCACTGGTAAATTTTATGAAAACACAAAAACTCATCAGCAGGAATACTGCAGCTGGTGGAAGAACACCGGGTTCCTACAGGTTTCATCGAGTTAAGACCTTTTCAAGACCACTTATATAAAAAATCAATACCTATTTATTTCACAGCCCTACAGGCAAAAAAAAGCCATTCCTGAACTTGTGTTTATTTATCTTTCTGTTTTATTCTATTTTGCCAAAAACACTCGGTAGAGAACAGTAGCAGGGCGGTTTCAGCTTTCACTGAAAGGGTAGCTAGGTAATGTAAAACAAATGTATAAAATATAACAGCGTCAGTGGCGCTGGGCACCAGGAGACATTTCTTGATACGACTACTTTAACAAGACCTGGTTCTTGATGGTGGTACCTTTTTTTTTGTTCATTTCAGGCACAACAAAATACATATATAAAACAAAGTGCACAAAAACAAGAAACAAAAATTACCTGAAAAGGAGTGGGACGAAGAAAACTTACTAAATCCCACCCCAATACTCACTCATCAACTAAAACAACAATAAGCTTCCGGCAGCTTTGCTCATCATAGCAAACCAAACAACCCATCAACAGCTCCGGGCGCACGCAAACATCACAACAGCAGCCCGCAAACAACAAATAGAACCTTCATAACTGAATACAGCATACATTAATTATAAATTGCGTTACCACAGGTAAACAGGCAATAATAATTACATAGTAACAAGCACACATACATATACATACATATGTATCTACACACACATGTACATATATGTACATACATATGCACACACTATTTCTTTTCTTTTTTTTTGTTATCCATACCAGCAGTGGTAAGAGAACAGACATTACAGAGCACACTAAAACCATCATTGAGTATACTGTGACCAGACCAACTGTTTTTGCATTGTTTCAGTTCTAAACTCAGACTGTTCCAGATTTTCACACCACATACAGACACACAAAAACCAAACCTTAACGATACTTTAGTTAAAATCTATATTTTAATAATTTAAGAGAGGATAACAAACTACTTAAAGGTTTTGTTCTTGTTGTTTATATCATTATATTATATAACCCTGCTGAACCGCATGTTATAATGGTAAACAGCAGGTAAGTTGGTTTTATTTCCTATTTCTGCTTTTATCAGCCTCTGACTCCTCCAGTGTGCTGGAAGGTGATGGTTTACTTTTTTGCGATCAAAGACTTTCCATGTTTCAGCTCTCAAGATGATGCCCTGCACGATGGTGTGCTTTGTTAAATTGCTGCTATTCCTGATTTTCACGGCACAAATCTTCTTGCTGGTGTATCATTTAGCTGCGGCTTACTTCAGCAAAATGCACCCACACTGAGTTTTTTAGCATTTTCATCAGCGAACTGCAGAGAAGTGTTGTTGAAAGGAGACGCGTCTTCTCCAATCATCAGTCATGTGACCCGAGGTGGCACATTGGGACATTTTAACACCTTTTTTTTCCTGATTGTGGTACCTACCGAATGTTTTCACTCAGTCACTGATCCAGAGTCAACCTTTCTCATGGTCTGCAGAGATTTGCCTCGTTTCTCTTCTCCTCTGTTGGAGGTCTGTGCTATGTTTACCATTTTGTATCACTGCTGTAGCGCGGGAGCTGAATATGTCACGTGTTCAGAGTATTCTGACCCAAGGCTGCACTGCATTGTGAATTATATTAAACACTGCATTGATTGCCCGTTCAGTTCAAGATCAACAGTCAGGCCCCTCCCTATCTAAGCAAACTCCTCCACTTCTACCACCCTTCTCGTGCTCTTAGGTCTGCAGATAAACTCCTCCTCACTGTCCCTAAGACGCGTTTGAGGACTCGCGGGGAAAGGGCTTTTTTGTATCTGTGCCCCAAAACTTTGGAATTCACCACCCCTTCCGGTTAGACGAGCACCCTCGCTTCCCATCTTTAAATCGAGGCTGAAAATGCATTACTTCTCCATGGCCTTCGATTCTTAGCATCAACAGTTTGTCATACCTCCTTCTACTGTGGTTTTTCCCATCTTAAATCTGTGGTCTGACTACTTTTAATCATTTTTTGTTTTTATTGTTTTTGTTTGAAACGGTTCTTCGTTGTATTATTTTTTTTTTATTAATTTTATGACTCGACTATTTTATCCTTTTATTGTTTTATTTTGTACAACGCTTTGGTTGATTGTAATGCCATATTGAAAGCGCTTTTATAAATAAAATGGTGTGGTGTTGGTTCCACCACTATGTATGTTACGTTATTTAACAAAAATTAATGTGGTTGACAAATATAACTTTTGAGGTCAAATACAGTATGGATAATTTACATGCAGCAAAAATTTTAAGACCCAGTTGTCAAAATTCAAGACTTAAGGTATGATTTCCAAATTCCTAAATTCAATGCTTTTAAGACTTTTAAAGACCCCGCGGGAACCCTGAGAACAGAATCAATCTGCTCTCCCTGACAGAGGTCAACACCCGTGTCAAGTCACAACTTCCCGTAAAAATGTGCTGGAAAATGATGGTGCAGATTCAAAGTCATCAGATCAGGGGCATTTGTTTACATCCGGAACTAGGAAGCTTCAGTTTGTTCTCCAACTGTATAATGCTGCTGCTCAGATAGAACAGTGTAGTGAAGGCTACTCTTTAGTAACATTATAAATAAATCTAATAATAAATAATAAATGAACCTCATGACTCTCTCATATCAATGAGATCAAAAGCCTGGGTGTTACCTGTACAAGCAGTCCATGTAGTCGGCTCCTTTACTGTACTCCTCCCAGTACATGTGGTACATAACTAAAACCTTCTCCTCCGATTCCAGAACTTTCTAAAAAACATAAACAGGTAGAGCAGCTGTTATAGACTGCTAAGTTCAACAGGAATGCAAGAATTGTATTTTAACGCTCACCTTGTACAGCTGCCTAACGTGGTTCTCAAGAAAAATTTTGGTCTCTGTGTATAACTTCTCCCCTAAAGGCTCAGGGTACGCAACACACAAGGCATAAATGTCACTAATGTTACAGTCAAGGGTTAGAACGAAGAGTTTGCACTAATACAAACATAAACACAGTGTAGTAAAGTACTTTACCGTACATGTTTACAATCCAAAATATAGACAAATTACATGGCTTCTCTGAAACTAGGATACGAGAATCGATCGTTCCACGTGGCTCGTTCCACATAGTCGAGCATCACGACAGCCTTGATTGTAGTCAGTAACTTGTTCCATGTCTCATCGAAATCCACCACCCGTGGCTTTAAAGACATTGTAGATTTCCTCTTTTATCCTACAGAAGAATAAAAATAGTGAATACGTTGTTACGGGTGAATATTTAATATTTTGAAGAATCTGTATTTTATCATGTTTTTTCTGGTAATACCATTTCTTTCACCAATCTAATAATGTAATACGTCCTTATTAAACAGAATACAAGTGATGAAATCAAAAGGAAAGCGTTGAATAGTGACATCAATGAAGAAAACCAATGAATGTTTTTAAATGGATATCTTTGCTCCACTAATGACATCAATGACGTTGCAATAAACTATACACCTCTAAACCAGTGGCATAAAAACAGCATTAGATATAGCTGCTCACATATAGCTGCTTGTGATAGTAAGATTAGATACACAATGTACAAAGACTTAACGTTCATTGGGACAAAACACACCGGACACACGGTCTGGTGTGTCCGCGTTGCGATCATAACTGACAATAACTGACACGAACTTTCATTTTGCTTTCACTGAAGTCATTTATTAAATCAAGTAAAGAAACGTAGGCCCTGTGTTCTTGTGTCAGTTGAATAAACGTCACAGAATGTCACTGAAGCACTCTGACAGTTTTAGTCGTTGCAGCCGGTTTCATTCATGCACGTACGCGTCTCTCCTGAAGGAAGGATCGGTGCTAAACACACCTCTTTACAGTCCCGATAAAAGAAGCTAAGTAAAGGTGACTGGCTAGCGGCATGCCAATCCCAAAATAGGATTCAATGCTAAAAGGCTAACTAGCTTCATGCTAGCATGCTAAGCTACTTCTTCCCGTTTGAATAGCATACAATCTGATGGAAACAGTTAGCGTTCCGTGTGATAGCAGCTAGCTAATGGCAGCTCAGCTATCGCTAGCAAGTCATCTCAGTAGTTTCTCCACAATCACACTGACACCTCCACAAAACATGGCACTGCTGTCAAACAAACCAAATCACCCGAGTTAAGCAGGGACTCTTACATACTACATACCTCTGTGTAATATGTAGTTGTTAAAAACCCAGTTAGTATTCTCCGCTGTCACGGGTTTGATTTGTTTTACAGGTCTTCCCTAGTATTCTTCTTCTTCTATGGTTTTAATGACAGATTAAAATGCCAGTTTCTGAATGCTGCCACCTACCGTATCGGAACGTGCAAGGGCACATTTGAATAAATAAATAAATATTTTCAGTTTGCATTTGATTTTTTTGTTTTAACAAGTTTGAAGAAAATAGTGTCAAATATTAATCAAACAATTTGCCCTTTCTTGTCTATTCCATTGCTGTCTATGTCAATTTTTTTCTCGAAAGACATTGTTTCATTTGTAAAAGAGTTCACCACTAATTGGCAACTTTGACACTAAAATATTGGAATGCATTCCAGTCAGCAACATTATCTCACATTAAAAGTCAAGCAGATGATGATTCTCCAATCACACAAACATGTTACTTCTTCCTTTGGTAGATTTGTTTCATATTTCATGCAAGTTGTGATTTTAACTGGTGAGGTGTCCGGGTGTGTGCTGCACCCACCTCACATCTACTGAAGGATGCAGGTAGGTATCAGTTCCTAGCAACCATGGAAACAAGCAAAGACAGAAAATGAATAGATGGGAGTTTCGCTGTCATCGGTGATTTACCTTTGGGAATGACTGTTCTAGATGCGTCACATAATTGCGTGGACAACATCCATCCATCCATTCATCCATCCATAAACTGAACCACTTCTTCCTTAGTAGGGTCACAGGAAGCTGGTGCCTAATTCCAACTAAACAGTAATAGTTAACATTAGCGTGGGACATGTTGGAAGGCCATTGCAACTTACAGTTGTGGTCAGAAGTTTTCATACTTGTAAAAAATATAATATAATGGCTCTACTGAGTGTCCCGTTATTTCTAAAACTCTGATTTTTCTCTTACCGAGGAACTGTGCTGCTCTGGGTGGCTGCATGTTGGAGTAGCTCTGTTGACTATATGTAAGTTTTGCCTTTTCTTGGACAGTTTTTCTTCTAGTTTCTCAAGAAAAACTGTATTTTTTGGACACTTTACTTTTCTGTTTCTGGTGCTGTGAAGCTTGGAGGATTTTTACTGCTATTTTTTAGCTTTCTTTACTTTTTGAGCATTTGTTATGATGCGTAACCATGGCAACAAGCTGGTTTACAATCAGGAGCAACTGGTTAACATTGGAAAGGCTGAAATAATACCTCAACTGAAGCCACAAATCCCAAATGAGCTAAAATGCAAGAAGCGTGGGTGCAGAGCGGGACGGAGACAGAGAAAGAGGAAATTCAAACCATCTCTTCCATCGATCATAACGGGCAATGTGAGATCACTGGCCAACAAGATGGAGGAACTCCAAGCCCTTTCAAGGACTCAGCCAGAGTTTCAGCAGTTTCGGAACCGCTGGAGGAGATGATGCAAAGAAGGATTCTCCAGAGAATCAAGAAAATTAAGGACAACCCTGAACATTCTCTTCACAAGACTGTCCGACAACGGAAGAGTGTCTTCAGTCAGAGGCTTCTTCAGTTTGGCTGCAACACTGACCGCTACTGGAGATCCTTCCTGCCAACAGCCGTTGTAATATACAACAACTCTTTGATGATTTGATTATTATTGTTATTCTGAGCTACTACAGCAATCAGTTTCCCTCTGGGATTAATAAAGTATTTTTGAATTGAATTGAATTGAATATTTCTGGGTTGTGGCTGTGGGTTTAGTGTAAATTAGCCATCATTGTTGTTTTAATGTTTTCTGTGTCGTGCTCAGTTTATAAACTGGGATTCACTTTCTTATTTTCACCTTTTCTATTGTTGTTCGTGTCCGAATCGTGAATTCTGGGGGTGAAACAGACATCCACACCCTGTTGAGCTGAAATTCTTTGTGAAGAAGACTTCCTCTTTCAAGAAAGAGGAAGAGTTAAAATGTTCTTAAAATACAAAGTCTGCATAATTTTACTTTAAACTGAGAAGTTCTTGCCTGGAGCTACTGCTGTTTGACTCAAACCTGAAAGAAGATTGTTGTGGATTTATTTGATAAGAGCAAATTTTACTTCACTGTTTTCCTTTGATTTTTATGGGAACTGTGGTCTTTTTTTTCTAAACCCTAAAATTCTACAGTTTTCCATCAGCTTGTTTATCAGAGACGATGGGGTGCAGCAGGAGTCTGATAGCAGCTCCGTCTGTGAACCTGCTGACAGTCATCATGCTGCTGAGTGTCGTATTGCTTCCAGGTCAGATGTTTGTTCCTTTCTGATCTGAAATAATTGATACTGATGCAGCAACAGGCAGCAGCTCAGATGTTTGTGTTTCATCGAGTTTCTTCAGGAGGATTTTGCTCCACATTGAGTTCATCTCTACTCTGGTCTTACAGATGTTCGGAGTCAGACTAAATGTGGTAAGACTGCATCTCTCACCATTGAAGCCCCACAGAAGATTGAAGCTCTGGAAGGATCCTGTTTGCAAATCCCCTGTAGCTTTATAGAGATATCAGATAAAGAGGTGGACAACAACAAAGACATATTTGGAGTTTGGATTAAAAGTGACCCAGTGTTTGACAAAAATCCCAATAATGTGATTTTTAACAGCAGTAAAATACAAAACATCTATAAAATGACACTTACTGGAGATCTGAGACAGAAGAACTGCACTACGGTCTTTTCTGATTTAATCAAACCTCAGTCAGACAAATACTTCTTCAGAATCGAGAACGAGTCGTTCAAAGCGACAGCTTTTTGTCATCCGGTTCAAATAACAGTTTCAGGTGAGAACTTTAGACTAAACCTGCTTTAGTACTCTGGATGATGAGCTTTTTTCTTTGTCAGCTGTTTCGTGCTCCTGTCTGAAATCTTCTCCTGCTTCCACTTCTGGCTTAAAACACTAAATCTTTTGCCTGTTATGTGATGAAATCCCAGATTCTGCCTGGAAACCCAGGATAGAAATCTCAGGAGATGGGCAGCAGCAGAACTCTGTGACTGTAACCTGCTCAGCTTTCACTCCCTGTCCACGCTCACCTCCTGAACTCACCTGCAATCTCCAACAAGTCTCTCACAGACTGGCAGAGAACCCAGATGGAACCTTTACAACTGAAATCCAGATGACCTTCCCTCTGTCAGACACACATGATGGACTCAACATCAGCTGTTGTGCCAGATATCCTGTTTATGACCCAGAACTCGGTAAGAGAGCAGAGACAGAAGAGGAGAGATCCTGTCAGAACATCCTAGTTCAGTTGTCACTTTGTGTGTGTCACATGTTCCTCAGATGCCTCTGAAGACACCTCAGCACCCATCAGCCCATCACGTTGGGTGTCAGCAGGCAGCTGGGTGAAGCTGAACTCAGAGGGAGTCATGACGGTAGCAGAAGGAAACATTTACAGATTCAACATCACAGAGGGCGGAGCTTATTACTGTGAGGCTGCTGAAGATGAAGGTAGTTTAGCTTGTTTGTAGAGTTTCATGTTTCCGTTTATTTTCTTTTTTTGTGTCTGAAATTCTAACGCTAAATTACAAAATGCACTGTAATGTAATGACACTTGTTTAAAAATTAGAACATTATTAAGTAAATAAAAGTTAAACTTGGGGTCAAACCAACAAACCTCAAACTACAGAAAATCATTTTCCAAGCTTTATTCAAACCTGCGTCACATGTAGCAGTATGAGGCATCCATCTAATCTCTCCTCACTCCTTCTCTTTCTCTCCTAACTGGATCCTTCTCTCCTATACTGCCCCCTGGTGGTAGACACAACTGTCTTCTCCCCGGCATCCCTTATTAAAATGACATCTATGATTCAGACCTAAAACGTTTTAATCGTCATTATCAAATGGTCTTGTTACAGGTAAACAGTTTAGAGTCAGCATGTGCATCACCATAAAGATTTTAGGGATTGCGATGCTCTGCTCTGCAATCATCATCTTTGAGTGGTGAGACACGTTTTTATCAACTGATCCTTGTAGTCATTTGTAGTCTTAGAACAGTCAGTCTTAGCCTTCATTTTCCTCTTGTTTCTTTGATCATCAGCTGGTTCAGATCAAGAGTCTCCAGCAAGCAAGAGAAGGTAAATAAAACAAGCTTTCCTGTCCTTGAAACTTACTAATTCTCTCTCTCTCTGTGTGTGTGTGTGTGTGTGTGTGTGTGTGTGTGTGTGTGTGTGTGTGTGTGTGTGTGTGTGTGTGTGTGTGTGTGTGTGTGTGTGTTCATCAGAGATATCGGTATGTCTCCTGGTGTTTCCACTGACATTTGGATTCCAGTAGAACAGAAGGGAATCTGTTTGCTGCAGCTTTGTGTTAGACAAAGTCACACTTTGGTTTGAATTTCCTCTAAATTGCTTTGAGTTGCACTGAATTCACCACAGAGCAGAAAAAAAAACCTTTGTGTTGTTTTATTTCCACAGGACAGAGAAGAAGAAGAAAATATCCACAGAGTGATGGAGACTCAGACATCATGAGACACAAGGAGACGAGGATGTGTGTTACAATCCTCCAGACTTAGAGGGATTTGTTCTCTCATTGTTGTTACACGAGTAGTGATATGTGACACTGAGCGATGGGAAAAGATGATTTTACTGTGTAAATTAGTGATGCACCGATATGATATTTTTGGGCCGATACCGAAATCCGATATTAAGATCACTGCTATGGCCGACAACTGATATTTGCCAATACCTATATACTGACATTAATGCTTCTAAAATCAGAAGATTTAGTATATAATGAAAATTATTAACGCTGAATTGACATTATTATGTACACTCACCACACTCATGTACGATTCTGAGATTATTTCATTCACTGTTCGCATGACTAAACAATTACACATCACCCTCCTCACCCTCTGAAACAGGCAAACAAGTAGAGGTGAGATGGAAAAAATATCGGTTGTTAAAATCGGCCCGGTTTTATTTATCGAACCGATACTGATATGTTAAAAAATGACTAACATTGGCCGATACCGATATTGATGCCGATATATTGTCCATCTCTAGTTTAAATATCAATGAGAGAACAAACCAGCATGCTGCAGCTGTTTTGTGTTTCCACAGTCCAAGTTAGAAAAACTGTGTGTTCTATTTAAAACTGCTTCAAAGTGTATTTTATACTTTATGCTGAACTCTGCTGAAATGCTTTTTAAAATTTGAAATAAATACCCTTCCAATGGAAAAACTGAAAAAATCCTATGTTGTCCTTGTTATTTTAATTAACAAAATAACTCTAATGTGAAATGACAAACTGAGGTTCTACACAAAAGTTAAGTGTTTTTCTATTGATTTTAACTCTGAGAAATATAAAAATCTACTTTAATCAGAAATATTTTAGTGCAGCGGCCTGAAAATAGCTTTGATGCCATAATAATGTTATTTATATAAAGTAAACAGGGCAATACAAAATACAAAACTAAAAAACTAAATGAAAAACTAAGATACACATCAGGTCCGACTTCCTTGACGATTGGGCTGGAACAGTTTCAGAACCTGGAATTGAAGATGAAGCTGGAGCATGTGGGGGCCTTCAAGGGTGGAGCGCTTAGCAGGGTTTCTGGTTGAACACAGGCCCAAAAGTGTTTTGCAGTTTGAAAAGAAAAAAACAAAATCATAAAAAACTATTTCTTTTCAGGAAAATGGCTAACTGTGAGTGTCTGATAGTGTGGACAATACAGGGCTAATTATGATTCCCTCTCTAACCAAAGCTGATGTTTCAAACATGCCATGTCCTTTCAGAAGTGAGAAAACAGAACAGGACCTTCACAGCTTTTTATATACTGATCAAAAATGTCTTATGGCTTCTTATCTGCAGTTATAATCAGCTGCTTAAAGGTCATCTGAAAGACACACAGGAAGGTAGAAAGGCATCATGAAACTGTTTTTTACCCGTGAGTCAGTTTCAACCCATTCTTAGAAGTTCAGCCAATGGGAGTGATGTCACACAAAGTCACAAATTGCTGCCTGAATGCTTTTACCATACAATACCATATGGTACCAATTTATTTCTATGGTGCATTTAAAAACAGTATGGGAGCTGACCAAAGCACCTCTTAAGCAACAACGTAAAAACACACATTAAGTACAGATAAAACAGTCATTTTTTACTAAAAAGGTAAAAAATAATTAAAAAGCAGTCACAGTCTAAAAGCCAAATCATAGAAGTTTGTCTCCAACCGTGATTTGAATGGATGATGACTGTTAAATGGTGATTGGCAGTGGAAGTTACATACAGAAAGGCTCGCTCCCTCTTGCCTTGTAGGTCATAGTGGGGGTGCAGAGTAGCAGGCGGTCAGCTGACCGTAGTGAGCGCACAGGCACATAGGGTGTGCGTAGATCCAACAAATATGAAGGTGCTAGGCCGTTCAGTGCTTTATATACAAAAAAACAGGATCTTAAATTGTACCATAAAAGCCACAGCAATAAAGATGCGCCAAAACCGCGGTCACATGGCTACGCCTGCCTGTGCTGATCAAAGATCTTGCTGCTGTGTTCTGCACAAACTGCAGTCGATTCAGGGCTGAAGCAGGAGTCCCTATCAGTGAGTTTGCATAGTCAAGGTGAGGGGTGATCTGCATTGATCTGAGGGACCATTTTAAATCCTGCATCCAGTTTCACCCAAGGCTGGTAAAACACCTCTTGGGGTCCAAACTGGGAAGAATCTAAACCACAGATATGTGAGCGTAAAGTGTCTAGGGGCCAAAAAGAATGGCCTCAGCCTTTGATTCTTTACATTTAAGGAAATTAGCTCCTCTGGCCAGTTGAGAGCGAGTCAAAGAGACTGTGTCCAGTGAGAGATGGGATAGCTGTTATCTGACCTGTGTAACGTGAGGAAATATGGGTTTTCTGTCACAAAGGTCATTTGACTCGGCTGGGTCAAGTGCTGGGTCGCTGAGAACTTTCACCCACAGATTGAGAACCTTTGCAGACATGAAGTCTGCAAGAGTCTGCTGGAAACCATAACATCTGAACACCTGCAGTACCAGAAGATGTGTTCCCATGGAAAAGCTAGTCATAATAAGAGTCTTACACTTCCTTTGTTTATTAATTAAAATAATCATTTTAATTACCATTTTACTCATTATAAATGTGTATAAATGTGACATGCCTCAATGTCCTGGAAGTGTACAGGTCCTGTATAGAGGGGAGAGAGGATATATCCAACAATCATCAGCTTAGATATGGTAGCCTATGCTGTACTGCTTGAAAATCTTTCCCAAAGGGAGAAGATAGATGGAGAACAGAAGGGGTGCCAGGACATAACCCTGTGGCATCCCATGTTTCAATGGAAGACAGAGAGAATCCAGTCATCACTCCACTCACAAAATGACTTATCTGCCAAATAAGAATGGAACATACTACATGCAGGACCTGAAAGACCAATGTAGGAGTTGGTAAATTGAGTGCTTCATGAGCTTAATATATTACTATTATTAATATGATACTCTATTTAAATATAGAATATAAACCTGCTTGGTCTTTGGATGTTAAATCAGAAGATTCTAGGATTCCTTGTTTGTTCAGGGATTGTAGAACATTTCGTTTTGATTCAGGAAAGAGTCAGGTTTATAAATGTAAGAATTTATTTTCCAAACAATTAAAACTTGACAAGTTAACTAATATTTACTGTGCGTGGATGGATCTAGTTGGGTGGAATGTGATGTATGGTGCATATGTGTGAATATGATGTTATCAGAACTTTCGTGTCTAGAAGAGCTGAGTTCTGGGTGTAAAAGGGAAAGAATTTGGTTTGCGTTAAGCTATGAGGTTGATTCTTATCAAAAAGGCCTCAGACACTATATGCGTGTCTACCTCACCCTTTGGAAGACCCTTTTTGTGGATCCGAAGGTCAGAGAGGTCAGATGACCTCTGGCACCAAGGCTGTAGAATACCGTAGCACCGATCCTTCAGTCCAGAGATGTTTTCCAGGTCACAAAAGATGGATGGAACCATTTGCATCTCGGAGGACTCAAGAAGTCGGAACAATTTCAACTTTGTTCTGCAGGAACCGTTTGCTGTGTCAGCAGTAGGCAGCTCTTAGCAAGGTTTTGGCTGCTTGGCAAAATTGCTCAAGGTTAAAGAGGCTTCGCTCCGGACGGCCGTTCCGGATCTCTTTCTCTAGAACTGAATGCTGAGTGATGGAAGCTGGAATGCGACTGCTGAATCACCGTCTGTGATTGTGTTTAAATAATCTCACATTATGGTTTACTTGGCCAGTCGGAGCGTGCCATGTTAAGGGATATTACCAAGACAACCTCAGAACACATGCCTTCTTGAGATATCGGGTGCTCTGATCTGGGGTAAAGAAATATCTATGTGTCATAAGTTTAACATAACTTTAATTTGTCCTTGTGTCTGGTGCTGGTGACGATTGCCTTGTCATATCAAACATTACTGATTACCATACATATAAATCATTCAGTGTAATACTTCATTTCATTTAAATGATTCAAGCACAGATCAATTAACCTTATTGATTTAAGCACAGAATAATCCAAACATTATTATTATCATCATCATCATTATTATACGAATGATTAACTCATAAGCTGAAAACAGCCACTCTTATAACAGTCCAGTCCAGCCTGGATAACGAGGCAGGCTTGGCACAGAAGGGCCTTGAGAAGGGAACATTATTGTTGACACTTTGTTATCATGTCTTCCGAGCTGTGGAGAGCCTGGGCTGATGGAATAGCAGGATCCAGCAGATTAAAAGCAACACACGCAGACTCCTGTCTCCATGTCGACCACATATTGAAGGGGTCAAACTACACGAAAACTGACCATGGGCATTACACCAACACAGTATTGTAGACCAGTGGTTCCCAACCTTTTTCCCAAGGGACCCCGTTTTTTACCAGTAAAATTTTTGACGACCCCCTCCCATTCTCTCTTCCAGTACAAACATTATTAAGAAATGATAAAATTGTTCAAGCACATTTTAATATGCTTTGATTCAATAGATAACAGTAATAGTAGGCTCCAGTACAGAACAGTCATTAACAATACCAAACAGAGCATAATGTGCTTGACAGTTTGTATTACTTTTCTGAACACATTGTTTCTTGTAAACACTGATAAATCAATCATTCCTTTCAATAAACGTTTGACACATAAAAAATACACTGAGCAAAATGTACTTAAATGTGTATATTACTGTTTATACTAGATTATTTACTGTAAAGGCTGTGATTAATCAACCAGTCCTATCTTTAATGAACTTTTGACACTTGAAAATAAAACAGTGAGCTGAGCAAAATGTTCTTAAAAGTGTGTTACTTTTTCTGTACTAATTATTTCCTGTCTTAATATCAGTTTACTTTTCACTCATGAAAAAAATGTGAGCAAAATGTAGGCTATAAACAAGTAATAAATGAAGTTTTAGCCCCTTAAAGTGGAGAGGTCCTGGCGACCCACTGAGAGGCTTTGGTGCCCCCTTGTGGGGGTCGGGACCCCCAGGTTAGGAACCACTGTTGTAGACGACCCAACAGGATTCTGTGGCCAACTGTATCAAAAGCTGCTGAGAGATTTAATAGCAGCAGCTGTTCTCTTTCTAAATATTCTCTTACTTGTGGTGTTAAATGTCGAGAGACATAACTCGAGACCAATTGGTTATTGGTTGTAATAGAACAGCTCTTTATTTGAGACACGAGCAAGCAAAACCAGCAGCATGTTCAGTTCAAGAAGCTAACGGACAACAACACTTCCGGGTGTGTCAACCAAAAGAGTCCCCCACAAATGGTTCCACATGACATCTCCCCCTTCAACTTTTCAAAGCACTACAGAGGTGGGAGAACATAACTCATAACACACAATCATCTATCACTATTTCAAACAAGATTGCAAAATGTTGAATGGCTAACAGCACACTCCAGAAAATTACTTTATCTGTGTGTGCATAGCTGAGGGTGTGGTAAACTGCCACAACTCCTCGAGATGGGACGGGGATTGTTCTGCCCCGGATTTCCATCATCTCATCTAACTAGCATACCTGGGATTGGGCTTCACTATCCTCCCAAACTTAATGATGAGACAACGATGAGGTAAGGGAGAGCTTGGGGAGACAGTACTACTGTAGGTAGCCCCAGAGTCCGGCCCAAGTGACCCAGTCTGTTCCTGTTGATCCCCACAATGAGGGGAGTCCAGTTCAGGGTGTGGAGACAGTTCCTGGTTTGCCAGTCGGATATGTCGACG